ATGACCCTCTGGGCTCTTCATCTGTTGTCGTCTGCAACGCGGCCATGTTGTTAGTATCAAAATTAGCGCAATCATAGTGTCACGTGATCAACGCCACTAGTCGACGTCAAGCTTAAAGCGTCACGGTTCGGTTCAAAGTCGGTTCAACCCCTACAAGATGGTGCTGAGATGAGACACCGTGTGTAAACTTCATTTAGAAATCTGGTCGCAGAATCCCTCCCAGTACCTGTTTTCCCCTCAGAGGACAAGCTGCCATTACTGCTGCCACTAACACAAGAAACGCACGATATCACGTCCCTCTTCGCAATCATGATCACGCACACATTTTCTTCAGGTCATCAGCGCTTCTGAGTCCGACCGTCCTTAGACCTGTCACCCTCTCGTCCGCTATTTTTCCTCCTGTGAGCAAATTGACTTTGATCTCAGGCTCTCCTCTTTGTTCAGCAAGGCTTGGTTGATTACAGTGCTTCACCGCCAGAGCTGCCTGGCCTCAGAGACAAGCATCTGTAAGCGCTAACAAAAACATAATTGCTAAAAGCCTCCAACTGCCAATTTCAGCAGGAGAGCCACTGATGTTTCACTGGTACGCTTGCCAGGGAACATTGAATTAGCCATTTTGTGGTCTTGTGTATTCGTTTTTACACTCATCTACGCACATACATATACTTTTAGTATTCTTCCGGCACGCTGTTTTTTTTTTCCTCTGTGCTGCCTGTCACGTATGCTTTGGTCCTGGGTGACATTCATGCTTGTCTAATGGGAATGGGTGGTATTGATCAATGCATGAATGCTTAAGGTAGACTTCCTCTTAAAGGATCCCTGTGCCTTATGTATGCTGTTTCTCTCTCCTTTTTATGATCTCAGACTGTGTCTGTGTGAATTCACAGGGGGCGAAACTGATATTATGCAACGCAGCACTTCTTGCTAACATCTCGCTTCTGGTGCTCTTCCTCTAGAGCCGCAACATCAAATGTTGGCATCGATAATAACGTTATTGGTTTCAAAAAGGCTCGGAAATACATTTCCAGTGGTAGGCAGCCAAATCCCTGCTGAAAATCCAGGTCTAAGCGAGTTTAAGATGGTCTCCCTGCCTGGCCAGGCTGTCATGAAATATCGAAACCACTCAAAAACCAGCTAACCACTCCTAGTTAGACCAGGCTATGGTGGTCTAAGTGGTTTATTTCCCACAGGGTGATTGTCACTAAATGCCTTTGACACCGTCAATCTGCTTGCTCTAATGATACATCATGAAATTGGCTGTTCTTCAAAAGGTCAGCAGCAAACAGAGTCAAAGTTGAAGTTCAGGCGGGACGTTACAGCGTTTGATTTGAGTGTTGCTGAACTTGGTGTTACGCTCTGTTTGATGAGTTCAATGCGATGTGGAACATTGCCACGAGTCATGCAGAAGGACCTTTGTATGAAATTAGCCTGCTTGATGAAATGCTAATGACCAGACTTTATTTGCGGAGGAAGTGAAGACTGACTTTAAAATTTACCACAAAAAAATGTAGTTTAGTGAAACTTTAAAGTTACACTTTTAATCAATAAGGCCATTAATCTCAGGTTACAAAGCAAATCTTAAGTTTTCTTGCTAACTGTCTTAAACATCCAAGTGGATTGTACTTAAAAATGTAAGTCATTTCAACTTAAATGGCATGAAACTGACTTTAGTTATTAGCTGAATCTTGTACAACTAATACAAAAGCTGAACATTCCTTAGCTTATTTTGATGAGTTAAAGCAATGTAAAAACATATGTTGCCATAACTTATTGATCATATAATCTTTTTGCAGTGCAGAAGTATTTGTTTGGGTCACCATTCGGGTTCAAGCAAGTCCCATTTTCCTGCTCTACACAAAATAATATATTATGTATTGTGGCAGTTTGAAAATTTAATTTCTGGTGAGTGAGGATGTTTAATAAACCCGACCCTAAACCTAACCGATAGTGTTAACAAAAGTTAATGTGAGATAAAAACAGCTTTAGCTTGCTTCTACAAGCCTTTGCGCTCTTTTATCGTGACACGTTTTTCACGCGACTCAAAGTTACTCAGAAAAGCCACACATATGGAGCTGTTTGTGTGATGCATATGTCAAAATGTATTAGTTTACAAACCATGCACTACGTTAAAACACTACGGTCATAACATGGTATCGTGCAAAAGAACCACTGGAATCATAATATGTGTGAAAGTAATAAAAGTTACTCGGTTTTTTTACTGCCACTAGCGTTCATTTCAACTGGAAACAGCAGTGAATTGTTTGTATAGGTACGTTTTTGGAGTTTTGCAGAATTGTTGGTTGAGGCACGTTTTCCCAAAAGGGTTCTATAACACATATAACCAGTGTTTATTTTTAGTTAGCATTTAGCTTAGTACCGTAGGGTAGTGATGCAATTTGGCATGAAAATGAGCTAATTGGTCTGTGATTATTACATAAATATAAGGTGTTTCCTGCACTTTAAGAGAACTTAAGCTCTGCTTTACTTTTTCTTTAAAAACTGACAGTATAAGCAACTTGTATGAATCCCCCATTAATTCTTTCTCAGAAAAAAGAAGGCATCAGATCATTTTGTTTTTCTCACTCTCTTCCCGATAACATCTCTCGAAATATCCATAACAAAGGAAGTTTGTTCTATCAGTGAGAGGATTCAATGCAAATAGGAGTATGGGGGAGTAGGGTCGGGGGGGCATCTGTCGTCATCCTCAGCAGGAACAATACACCAAGCAACACTTCTTTTTAATCATCACTATCAAAGCTGGCAAGCTGGCAGTAAAAGCCAAGTGCGCTCCAGCTCCAGGGCAGAGTAAGAGAGCGTTTGAGGATAACATGAAGACCCACCGCTAGCCCATGGGGATAGGAGGTGATTATTCAAGCAGCCAATTAGACGCCTGTCTGCATGTTTGTTACATCTCACAACTGTTTAAACCCCTGAGAGGTAAACAGAGAGAGAGAGAGAGAGAGAGACTGGGGACTCCAGCTTCTCCGTCTATTTCCTTCCTTGTGCCACAGGAATACAGTTGTTTACTTACACGTTGAAGGTGAAACTGTATATTTACATGGCAAAATGAGCTGGGTTTTTTTGCTTGCCACGTGACTAAACTAAAGGCATTGTGTTTTGCTTCCTGTAGATTTGTTGACTCATGGTACCACATGTATCATTCGTTCTCAACTGGTCTTGCAGCAGGACCCTGTTTTGTGGAACATCAACTGACGACCCAACATGGTACCAAAAGTAAACAGAAATTTCCTAAAAAATTAAATATTGATAACAATAAAAAATGACACTTTAAAAAGTGGTCAGTTGACCATAACTTAGAAAAATGAGGAAACCCGTTGCCTTAAAATTAAGTAAATTAATGTCATGCGTAATTGAAAAAAATAAGTTATTGTGATATTAAGTACAATTCCAATTCCACACAACTTTTTTCAATTGCGCATGAAGTTTATTTACTTAATTATTTTAAGTCAACTGATCATTTACAGTGTATGTATGTTGTTTTGTCAGTATTTGATTTTTAAGAAATTTCTGTCTACTTTTGGTTAGTGTTGTAGTTGTGCAAATAATAATAATAATAATATTAGATTTTATATAATATTGCATAATATTGCCTGTTGCACAATAATGTAAGTATTTTTACTCCCTTTTTAAAAACTAAGCCTATTTATTTATCTATCTATTCTTTATTATATAGATAACAGTTTATTTAACCGTGGATAACCGGACGTAAATTAGCAATACTGCTATAATCCGGCTTGTTTACATCTTGTATTCTGTACAAATGTTCATCAACATGCTTTGTCCCTATCAAAAAAATAAAATAAAAATAATTATATGAATAATATTTTTTTTTATTTGTTCAACCCTGCTTGAGAGTCACTTCCATGATGTCTTTTTTTATTTATCTATTTCATTCTTTAGCTATAGAAAAAAAAAAACATGAAATTGACTCTATTTTTTACTATTTATTTTAATAAATGTCCCTAATCTTATTGTGCATGACTCATCAGTGCACGTTATTCGTGGGCAAAGAGGTTTTTGAAATCTTTTTTCAAAATGCAATAACTTTCTCTGCCTTTGACTTTTGTGATGTTCTTTTGTACTCGTTGGCAAGGCAAAAATATATTAACCAGTTTTTAACCGTACATTATTTTTTCCCTTGATATTGTTTCATTTAAAAAACAATTTTTCTTACTTCATGTTGTCTTTAAACAATTGTTCAATACAAGTTTAGCTCTATCAACAGCATCTGTGGCCTGCTGTCAATTAGCACAGGTACTCATTTCAACATTAATGCACTTAATGTCTATGGCGCAATCCAGATGTTCAGCCAGTTTTAGCACCAGCACTTGCTTAAATTTTCAAGATGTATGTCCGCTTTTTAGGGATGTATCACTCAAAACTTAAAACACAAAAGCATGAAATAGATTTCCAGTTTTCCACAAAATGTGTCTTCATTATTCTTTTATGCTCTCTGTCAAAGATATTTCTTATTCCGGTCATGAGTCTAGGCAATTACTTTTTTTAATATTTAATTTAGTCAGTGTAGCACAGAGTGAAATTGTGTGTGTGCACGATTGGTGTTGTTTGAAACATTTTTTGATGGAATACATTATTAATATTTTGAAATGGATAAATAATTCTGCCTGGAATTGTTGATGTGGTGGCTCATCGGTTTTATATGGGACAAATGTGTGTCATTGTCTCGGAGGAGCTCAAAGCAATCAGTGCTGTTGACTTGCAGTGCTGCTCTGCATTCTGACAAGAAGAAAGTGGACAACCTGTTCACATCCAGAACACTTCAGAGTGGACACCGTGCAGATGGTGGCTTGCTTTGAATAAATGATAAAAGAAAGTTCATTTGTCCCTGTGAGACCATCGGGTGTAAGCATTTTGATAACTAGAGCACATTTTACTGTAATGTGACTGATTTATCTTCTCCTTCTCATGAGTTCGGTCTCCAGTATCCAGTATTGGTTCCTTAACACGCTCTGCTCCAGATACAAGATCAAACTGGACTCGGATGAAACCCAGTATGGAGGCCATGGCAGACTGGATCACGACACCGATTTCTTCACTGAGCCATTGGAATTCAACAATCGGCCCAACTCTATGATGGTATGCACACAATACTTTTTGTTAGCATTAACTATACACCATTCCTAGCCCATTCAGAATCTGTTTTTTTTTTTTTTTTTGCTGATTGTGGTGTATCCTCAATACCACAGAAAAAAGTTATATTAAATATGAACAAATCAAATTAAACCAATTGTAGCCTTTAAGCATATCTCATTAAGTAAACATTGCCCAAGTAATTAAAAACAAGTAAACAAATCCCCATTTGATTACTCGAGTAAACGTTCAGTAATCAAATAAAGATTAAATCAACACATTACAAACACTAGATCAAATTAAAAGCTTCAAATGAAGCAAACAGCAGTGTTCATGTATCTAACAGCAGTACATTATCAGGTATTCATGCAAAGATTCCCCCGAAATTAAATGTAAATCAACCCTACTTAAATAATTTGCATGGTTTTCAATACATGATTATTAGATATAATGAATACTGATCTGATGCTGTTGGAGTTTGACTGAGAATCAGGTCTAATAACATTAGCCATGCGGTTTTCTTTTTTCTTCTTCTTAATACTGTTGTTTGAATCAAATGAATGACACAATGGACATTTACACCAGTGGGTCTCAACCGGGGGGCCTTCTAAGGGGCCTCAAAATGATTTCAAATAAGCCAAAGCAACTATGAATCAGAATGTTTATGATCTCTGATTCTCTGAACTCGCAACATATGTCTTGAAAAACCTGGATATATGAGATTTTAGAAGTATGATTTCTAGACCTGGAAATGTTATGTAAATGAATTAAACTCTGGGTATTTTAGTAATGAATACCGGTAATCTTTTTTTCTTTTTTTACTTATGCCAAGCATTTTATGAGGTAGAAATTGTGGGTAAAGTTTCTTAATATTTATTGAGTAAATCCTGAGCAACTGAAAAATTCGTGGGGCCTTTGAATCATTGGAATCAAAAAGGTTATATCACAATGTCAAATGGACAGGACCAATATTTTGCAATTTCATACAAGACATTACTATGTTTACACAAAATATCCCAGAAAGACAAGCATTTTCACGAAGTGCATTTGACCGTTTACACTAGTAACCGTACTGACATGTGGTAAGACACATGAGACATCCAAAAAAAATCTAAAATGACATCCTTTTTCCATATATCATAGCTTTGAGAATTTTTCTTGTTTTATTTTGCCTGCATTAGCATGCAAAACTCCTCCTGAAAAGTGTTTGAAGACTGAAAGAGCATTCATTGAAGCTCAAGACAAGAGTTTGTGATTGAACTAGGGCAATGAACAACATTTTCAACCATGCATTACTAGAGTAATGCATGTACTACATATCTTAAACCATGCAGTCGCTATATAATCTTCCTGTTATTGAGGCTCCTTTTATGTATTAGGCTCTTTATCAGAGCAGTAATAAATGGGAGTCAAGTGCAACACTATCTGTAGTAGTCATAGTTCAGTTGATCTAGCGAGTCACGTGTCTCCATCAGATAAGTTCTTCTATCTCTTGGGTTCCAGCAGTCATATTGTGAGTTCTCTTTCCAGAGGCCTTATTGAAATTAAATGCATGGCGTGAAATTTAAAACCCGTGTTTCAGGCTGTAGCTCGTGATGCAAGTCTTCATTCCTCCCTCGCTTCTCCTCTTTTCTTTGTCGCCTCCCTCGTCTCCTCACCTAAGGGCCTGCTGACGATTTAATAAGATCCATAAAAATTCAAAAGCAAACTTTCCGTTTCGCTGACTTGTCCTATTGTCAACATAGTTTTGTAATTGTTAAGCAGAGCGTGTGGAACAATCTTGAGCTTGTAGGTAAAAAGTGTCAAATTGAAGATGTACATAACTGATGTTTGTTTTCTTAGTTGTGTAACAGCTTGGGACCACATTAATGGACTGATTTCATTAATCTGATATATTCACCCTCATCTCGTTGGCTTATTCGGAGAACAAAAGGTGATATTTTTAAGAAGGTCCACGCTGCTTTTTCCCTGCAATGAATAGAAAGATTACACGAGACAGCGAAAATGTATAGGTGCTTAAACACAATTTTGAATAATTTCAGTGACTTGAATCTTTTGAACTATGCATGTTAAATGGGCTACATTCACAATGTCCGTTATTGAGATTCATTTACTTGCAGGTGTGAGTCTTGAAATGTCCCGTTCACACAGCAACTAAATTGATTCATTGCAAGTTCGTCTATCAAATCTTCATTAACCGTCAGCAGTTTTTATATCTGAGAGGAGAGTGGAGCACAAGTTGTCCCACTTGGTCAGAATATAAACACTTATTATAGGGATATGATATATAATATCTCAATGATACTAAAATAACAATATTTATGAATGAGTCACTGAATTATCTCCTCAACTATTTCATTAACTTAGTCAACCAAATCAAGTCTCATTATGATTTGCATTTATATCTATTTAAAATAAATGTTTAAGCACCATACATGTTTACAAACGAGATGTTTTGTTCAGTGTCGCTCTAATGGCGCTTTTCCACTACACAGTACCAGCTCGCCTCGGCTCGGCTCGACTCGACTCGACTCGCCTTTGTTTGGTTTTCCACTGTGTAAAAGTTGTACCTGTACCTGCTTTCGGGTACTTTTTTTCGTACCACCTCCGGCGAGGTTCTAAGCGAGCTGAGGCGATACTAAAATGTGACGTGAAAACAATGCCGACTGCTGATTGGTCAGAGAGAATCGTCACTATTCACTGCGTCATCATTGCACGCGCCAGATGGAGTATCCAGAATAACCCCGCCATTTTTAAGTAGTTTGGCCAGAGATATTACTAAACTTACTACTATTAATATGGCAACTCGGAAGAATACGCCGTGGTCAAACGAGGAGGTGCAGACATTCCTTTGTTTGGTTGCCGAAGAGAGGATCCAGCGAGAGCTTGATGGGGCAACGAGGAACGAAAGGCGTCGCTATGACGACCGGGTACTATTTGTGGCGGTACTTTCTGCAATGGAAAACGGAGCGAAAAGCGAGCCGAGGCGAGCCAAGGCGAGTCGAGTCGAGCTGGTACTGGTAATGGAAAAGCGCCTTAATTGACCCTTCGCAGGGAGCTTGATTGACAGGTGATCTGACCAATCATACTTCGCCATCCGCCATTTTGTCCGACAAAGCAGTCAGGAGAGTTAGTAGATTAACATGAGAGGATTTGAACTTGAAAAACGGAATGTACTGATGCCTTTCTGCGATTAAAACAACATTCCTTCTTATGTTCATTCATGTTTATTTGATGCGATAAATGAACTAGAAGGAAGAGATGATCGGATCACAAGCAGCTTTAACTGATGCTCTCTACAGCGATCTGTCACGACACATTAAAGAGCCACAAAACGGTATTTATTGTTTACATTTCTTTTAAAAAAATGACCAATTTGAAAGGTGAGACTTTGTTTAATATGTTTAATATCAAAAGTAACCGAAAAGTAACCTGGTCTGTCCTGTCTGTCAGCGTGTTGTCAGTCCGCGATGTATTTTTCACTGCGTGAGAACATGGTGTGTGTGTGTGTGAGAGCAGCGTAGCTTGTCGGACATAGCGACAGTAACTAAGGGGGGCGGGTCTTTGCGAACGGTCAATTCATACTTTGCAGTCACGTGACTACCATGGATACCTGGCGGGCAACAAATGGGTATTTTCAACGTAGAGTCCTGTAGTTCCAGGTCTTATGGGTCTTTTAGTAGCTATCAAGTCTGTTAGCGAGCTAGCTGCATAACTATGGACTAGAAATAGGATTAACTCCAAGGTAGCTAAATTGTGTAAAGCAGACAAGGTTTTTTAAGATAATCGAGCAGTAATAATTCTTCCATAAATAATCTAGCTCTAACTGTTGGGTCATCTCTGGTTCTCATTGAAAACCATAGATATCACAAACCTCAAAACACCAACTTTTGTATAGTAAAACTGGCGACGTCCTGGCAAGATCCTTGATTAGTTTACTGGGTTTCGTTGCTGGAGAACGACGTTCTCGCCCGCCAGCCAGTACTTGTGACGTCACGTGCAAAGTATGAATTCAGTTTCAAAACACCGACTCATCCAGTGAAAGTGTGTTTGTTCAGTTGGTCCAGCCAGTAAAATGCTCCTGAACAAAGCCACATGTGAGTATCAAATTACTCATGCTAGCAGTCGTCATGTGCTATCTGATATAGTGCTAGGTGATCCGATACTGTAATAGGCATTTATTAAATCTGCATTATTTATCAACTGTATCATTTTCATACTAGTAAATGTGCTGAATCTACTTTGGGAGAACCTCAGGGGTTGAAGAGACCTCAAGGCCTTTGACAGAAAATAGCAGCTAAACTCTAAGTGAAATACATGATTGAAAAAAATGATTGAATAATTTCTACGCACTGATATTCAGAGTCAAGGATCAGAGCTGGATATTTATTTATTAGTGCTGCTTACTTTCTGCAGAAAATCAAGTTTTTAGTGTTTAACTATTGTTTTGAGATGTAGTGTACCCTCCTCATTTCATATGAATATGAATGTTCTGTATATTGGCGTTCTGAAGTTGAATAGATATGACCTGAACCCTGTGAAATTGATAGTGATGCATTAGTCTGAATATATATTGATCCATTTAATGCACACCCAGAACTCTGCACCATAGAATCAGCAGTTTATGGTCCCATTTGATCTGCAGCGGCCATGGATACAGCAAGAATAGCCTAATTTTATGATCTAAAGAGTTTATATTGAGAGTTTTTTTATGTTTTCAAAGTAGTTTCTTCAAATTCATCCTCTGTACAAACACCGCTGAATCATATTTTTAAAAAAGTATTCGGTTGCATGCCATAGCTATTTGTGAACACAACACGCTATAGTCAACATTCGCACAGCAACATAATACGGTTGGCAGTCCTGTATTTACACACAGACACGTGTTGCATCATGTGTGGTTTCGGTAACTTAAAGCGACGGAGATTTGAGCTGTGTGTGGGTTTTTGATCCAGTCACTGTTCTCCACCAGAGCTGCTCCTGTCAGTTTTGTGTTCTACGCACGA